ACATAGCAAAAAACACTTTAACAACATTAAATCCAATGAAAGGAGGGCCTTAGTCATTATATATATACTGAGTGTAACAGCAAAATGATTAAAGAATTCTCTGAGGTTTTTATAACACTATTGGACTCTTCTTTGAGCAATAAGAACGTGTAATTATTCTCCAAGCTTAACAAAAGAATTGTGATGAAATCAATCATACACAAAAATAACATGGTCATCATTAATTAATCATAGCTAAGGATCAGAATCTCATGAATGGTTGAAATTAAGTTTAAACATGTATATATTATTCCAGGGTCATTTCCCGACTTCTAACTTTCTGTCCTGGAGTACCAAGGTGCCTCACATGTTTCACGTACGATTTCATTTTCAAATCTTTTTTTCATGTCTCTTTGGACTGGCATAGCTGAAACTCCTCTCTCATGTGCAAACTCTTATGGATTGAGTAGGATCTTTTATAATTGACTAGATTGCTGCGTCATTAACTCTTATTTCAAGTTCCTAACATTTTGTACGTCGAACCTAATTTAGGACGAATTATTGAAATACAAGCCTCCACTGTGAAAACTACTCTACAACACACTTATCCAGAGAGAATCCAGCCATTTATTAATGAAAGTATATAGCCTCTCTAGATCAGTGATGCCTTTGTCTTTTAGAAAGTACTGCTTCATGCATTTATCTCAGTATCCCTTTCACAAGTCTGTAAAGTCTTTTGGGATTATTGAAAGAGGCAGAGGATTTTGGGACTCATAATAAGGAAAGATGGCTTGAGAATCTAATACTTATAGGTGACTAGCAGTAGAGCCCAAGCGTTGCCGGGAATGTAACAGTAAGAGATAGATCAAGTATCGACCATCATAAAGACTGAAAAATAAAATTGACAAAGATTATTGTTTAAGGTTGACGGACACGCATGTCTTAATTAGTTTGTTTTTTTTATTGTTTTTTGTCTTAGTCAAACCCAAACTCAAACAAAAACATTATTTTCAATCGTTATGAGTCTATCGATTGAATAGAATTTTATTATAAGCAATTGTCTTGTAAATGGAATTTTTAAAGCATTCTGAATGTAAAAATAAAGAAAAAAGTGTGCAAGACAATAAGAAACACTACCTGCCAAAAAAAAGTGAAGTTTTGTTGAAATCGGTTGAAAAATGTAGGAAATCCGATCCCATATATAAAGGAACACACACACACAAACAACCTGGGTTTTATAATAAGTATAACTCGATATGAGTTGTCCCCCTTTCATTCTGGCGACAGAATCGTGTTTTCAAATTGATTTCATGCAAAAACAATTGTGTTTTTCTAATTTTTGGCACTGTCAGAACCACCGCAAGGTAATTTTACACAGTCCTGTGAAGGTTTGTTGAAATCAGTTGAAAAATGTAGGAAATCCGATCCAATATATAAACGTACAGACACACACACACACACACACAATCTGCATTTGATAATAAGTAAGATCTCTTAAGTTAAAATGATGATCCCTCTTCCAGTTATAACCTCCTGATCCAGTTTTCCTCTCTACTGTTACCTCTTTTTTAAACTTATTCACCGTTCTTTTGATGGTTCTTGAATGGACTTTGAAGATGAAAACCAGAGTATGAATGTTGGTACTGAAGGCCAGAATGATCTTTTTCCTCTCACCATTACTCATTTGGGAAGAAAGTGGGGTGGGCTGACACAAAATGATTTTAACCTGTTCTCTTCCTAGCTGAATAACTCATTTTAGGTCTGTGTTTATTCAATACTTATGGTTACAATGCACCATTTCAATTATTTTATAGGTTACAAAATCAAACTGACTAAAATTATGAAGGTTAATTTTCATTATTGACATGAGAACTATTATCCTCATCTTTGTTGTTGATATTTTCATCAGATGTACATTAATCTGTGTAACCTACAGAAAATTCTGAACTTAATCCTTTATTTAAACAATGGGGGTATAGTGTTCTTGTTCCACTGTCCATGACTAGGGATATCTCATTGTAATATGTTAACAACTAAGTAGAAGCTTATGAAGCTTTATTTGACTAATTCAGTTTTAGCACTGAAAATGTTTATTTTATTACAGTGGATGATCACAAGGAAGAGGGGAGATGAAATATACTATAACTATACTTTTGAGATGACCCCAAAGGAAGAAATCTAAAGGTGTCAAGTCGCACGATTGTGGTGGACAATTAACTTCACTGTTTTGAGAGATGATGCAACCTGGGAACTTCTTTTTGCATTTCTGTTTGAAAATCCATTTTCGTAATAGGCTTTGATAACCTTAACATGTTGCTTGATTGTTAATCTTTCCATGGTTGAAATTGACAAAGACTTTAAAATGCAAATAGAAATAACATAATAAGTAATAACTATAAAATAACGTGTATTTTTGCAACACACACACATACAAAAACACGGATATATAGAAAGATAGAGATATGTTAATTTTAATTTTACATTTGCCATTATTCACATGTGGATAGATATCTTTTTAAATTTTTATTTGGTTTTGAGCAATATCTATATAAAAAAAAAATTAAAAAAACAAGAGGTAAGAAGAAGAATTCTCCATTCATATCTTAGATTTCATATATGTGGGTTAAAGAAAAGAATTTTAAATTTATTTTTTGATATTCCTCTATGTGAATGGGCAAATTCACACTCTTTCACATTTATTTTTTAACCTCCCAAAGTTGTTAAATCTGAAAGAAAAAGAAAAAAATCATTAGATGCTTAAACTTAATTCACATTTAAAATCGGTCCAAGTTATTAGAACATCCTCTACTTGGACTAATCTTTGCTGTTATCACATTGTTTTGGCCACTGTGCCCTCTGACCTTCAGAAGAAATCTTTTGATCTGGGTAATCTTTAGGGAATTTTGAACTGAACCCTTTATTTAATTTATAGGGGTAGAGTTTTCTTATTTTTCTTCTTATTTTACAAATTTGTAACTTAATGCACTAAATTCTATGTTTAATTCACCTAATACTTATTATTTTCATCTTCTGATATATAATTCTTATATGTCTTTTAATCTCACTTCATATGAAACATATCACAGATGTTTAGCCAACATGCTGTAGATGTTTCTCTGAATTGCATTTGAAAAAGAAACAAAAACATAAAAGGAATCCAGTCATCATTTCTGATTTTCTTCCCAAATACTTAAATTTAAATTGTTAACTGAATTAATTACAAGATATCCTGTTTATTGAGATTTTTTTTTTAATTTGGATTGAGAAATTTTAAAACTAAAACATGAAAAAAAGAAAAAAGGATGATTTTGTCATACTTTATGTGGTCAGAGATGAAGATAGTGTAATATGAGTGTGGAAAGTGAATCAGGCATGCCAAGTTCAATCCCCACTCAATTCTGTTTTGTTCACTTTGCACTAATGCCATTGGAAAAAACATGAATTCAGCTTTCCCCAGCTATGGGTTAAATAGAAAGGAAGACTGAGTTGCCTTGAAGTGGCAACTAGTTGAGGAGAAGGAAAACCAGCCTGAAGATGGTTTGGCTCCATCAGCCTACCTTGCTCTAGACACACCACTGCTGCTATGGCTGCAGTACATGTGGTACCTTATGATCTGAATGAGTTAGGACATACACGTACAGACTCTGGGTAGAGGGATGTTTGATTTTTATTTTTGGTTATTTTTTTTTGCAGGATTCCTGTGATAATTAAATTATTTTATTTTTTTTTTAATCATTTAACCCCAAGCAAGGTGTGAATGCCACTAATATGCAGGGGATTACAGATATTGAAAGTGAGAGAAAAGATTGAGTATAGGGAGAATTGAGGTAAGGACAAAAAATTAACAAGATTCAAGAAGAAGGCTGTTGACGTTGCATTTAAATTTTTGAAGATTGTATTTATCGGGGAGGTATGGTGGAGTAATAGATAACAGCTTGAATTGAGGAATCAGAGAGCAGAGTTCAAATTCCAGTCAAATCCATTACATTCACTTACATGCTAATACCCTTGGGAAAGGTATGAATCCTTTTCTTCTCCCACCAGCTATGGGCAAATAATAAGACAGACCAGGTTCTATAGCTTTGGATGGCAACTGGTTTACTGCAGAAAGAAATGGCAGCCTACTGCAGGAAAAAATCTGCCTCATCAGTCATGTATTGAAAGATACATAATTGCCTAAACGCATATGATGCATGGCCCATAACTGACTGATTTATCAGGGGAACAAGTAAACAGAAGGGAGTTCTACAGGTGGGTAGTGCAAGAAAAGAAACTATTGAAGTAGAAGTGGTGGTTGAATTTAACTATTTCAAAAGTGAAAGGGTGGGACCTAGATGCCAATCTAGTAGCACACTTAAATTCATGGAGTCGGGGCACCAGAGAAAAAAGCTTGTCAAAGCAGTTGCCATGAAAATATTTGTAGAAAGGTCTACTACCTCTATCCCATAATAGTTATTACATTTGTGTACATATTTTATATTTTAAATCAAACAACTATTATAGTCTGTTGTAGTATATTCCATACAAAATGAAAATCCAATAAAAATAATTACATAGGAAGCAACTTTAATATTGTTCAAAACCTGTTATCTCTCTATTTGTTGGACAAGTTCAGCAATGCAATTTTTTTTTAACTCATAAGAATACTTTTTAAATCACTGGAACTAACTGAGATGCATTTAAACTATTTAAAGTGATTTCATTTGAATGTTGCATATCTGCAGGCAGTTCCTGTTGATAATTTCACTGTTTTCCTCACTTCCCAAAGTCATTCTAAATGATTCCACATGCTGTCAGAATGGTGAGAGGAGAATCTAATTGTCACCTGCTGTTCATCTTAGGCAGTTGTGAAAAGAAAAGGAATCACAGGGAAATAAAAGAAAGGTTGGATTATATTATTAGCATCTCTTGCAGAGGTGCATGCTGGGATTGCCTTTTTTGCCTTTTGCCTAATTGCTGCTTGTTAAAACTTGAATTCTATTATTTATTAAAAATTTTATTTTATTTTTTTTTATTTTTTTATGGACAATTCTTTCTTTTCTGGTTTCTGTTTCTTTTTGCTTTGCATTCTTTCTTTTTTCTTTTCTTTCTTTTTTTCTTCTTTTTCTTTTTTGCATTCATTCTTTTCTGCATTCTTTCGTTTTCTTTTACATATTTCTTTCTTTTTTTCATTCATTCATTTTTCTTTTCTTTCTTTTTTCTTTAAATTCTTTCTTTTGGTTTTTTTCTTTTTACATTCTTTCTTTTTTTTTCTTTCTTTTCTTTAAGAAATTTTTGCATTCTTTATTTTTTCTTTTATTCTTTCTTCTTTTTTCTTTTCATTTTTCGTTTTCTTTTCTTTTTTCTTTTTCTTTTCTTTCTTCATTCTTTTCTTCTTTTTTTTTCTTTTCATTCTTTTCTTCTTTTTCTTTCTTTTTTTCTTTTTTCTTTGCATTCTTTCTTCTTTCTTTTCTTTACATTCTTTCGTCTTTCTTTTCTTTACATTCTTTCGTCTTTCTTTTCTTTGCATTCTTTCGTCTTTCTTTTCTTTACATTCTTTCGTCTTTCTTTTCTTTACATTCTTTCTTCTTTCTTTTCTTTACATTCTTTCTTCTTTCTTTTCTTTGCATTCTTTCATCTTTCTTTTCTTTGCATTCTTTCATCTTTTCTTTTTCTTTCTTTTCTTTCTTCTTTCTTTTTTTTTCTTTACGTCTTTCTTTTCTTTTGTCATTCTTTCTTTCTTTCTTTTTTTACATTCTTTCGTCTTTCTTTTCTTTTGCATTCTTTTTGTCTTTCTTTTCTTTGCATTCTTTTCTTTTTTTCTTTTGCTTTTCTTTTTGCATTCTTTCTTTCTTTTCTTTCTTTTCGATCTTTTTGTTTCTTTGCATTCTTTCTTTTTTTACTTTTTTTTTTGCTTTTCTTTTCTTTTTCTTTCTTCTTTCTTTTCTTTTCTTTCTTTCTTTTTCTTTTCTTTCTTTTTCTTTCTTTTTTCTTTTCTTCTTTTTCTTTTTCTTTCTTTTCTTTTCTTTTCTTTCTTTTTCTTTTCTTTCTTTCTTTGCATTCTTCTTTCTTTTTTTGCATTCTTTTCTTCTTTTCTTTTCTTTGCATTCTTTCTTTTATTTTTTTCATTTATTCTTTCTTCTTTCTTTTTTTTTTCTTTGCATTCTTTTCTTTGCTTCTTTCTTTTTTCTTTTCTTTCTTCTTTCGTCTTTCTTTTCTTTGCATTCTTTCTTCTTTCTTTTCTTTTTTCATTCTTTCTTTCTTTCATTTTTCTTTTCTTTTTCTTTTTTCTTTTCTTTTCTTTTTACTTTTTTTTTCTTTCTTTTCTTTTTCTTCTTTCTTTTCTTTTTCTTTCTTTTTACTTTCTCATTTTCTTTTCTTTGCATTCTTTTTCTTTTCTTTGCATTTTCTTTTTCTTTTTCTTCTTACATTTCTTTTCATTCTTTCTTTTTTTCTTTCTTTCTTTTTTTTTTTTTTTCTTTGCATTCTTTCTTCTTTCTTTTCTTTCATTCTTTCGTCTTTCTTTTCTTTTTCTTTTCTTTTTCTTTTCTTTGCATTCTTTTTTCTTTTTTTTTTGCATTCTTTCTTCTTTCTTTTCTTTTATTTCTTTCTTCTTTCTTTTCTTTTCTTCTTTTTGTCTTTCTTTTTCTTTTTTCATTCTTTCGTCTTTCTTCTTCTTTCATTCTTTCTTCTTTTCTTTTTTTTCTTTTCGTCTTTCTTTTCTTTCTTTTTCTTTTTTCTTTTCATTCTTTCTTCTTTCTTTTCTTTTCTTTCTTTCATTTCTTTACTTTTTCTTTTTCATTCTTTCTTTTCTTTTCTTTTTCTTTCTTTTTCATTCTTTTTTCTTTCTTTTTCTTTTGTCTTTTCTTTTCTTCTTTTTGTTTTCTGCATTCTTTCTTCTTTCTTTTCTTTTCTTTCTTCTTTCTTTCTTTCTTTTCTTTTCTTTTCTTTGCATTCTTTCTTTTTTCTTTTCTTTTCTTTTTCTTTTTTTCTTTTCTTTGCATTCTTTCTTTCTTTTCTTTTCTTTTTATTCTTTCTTTTCTTCTTTATTCTTTCTTTTTCTTTCTTCTTTCTTTCTTTTCTTTCATTCTTTTTTCTTTCTTTTCTTTTTCATTCTTTTCTTTCTTTTTTCTTTCGTCTTTCTTTCTTTTTTCTTTCTTTTTCTTTTTTTGCATTCTTTCTTCTTTCTTTTCTTTACATTCTTTCGTCTTTCTTTTCTTTCTTTCTTTTTTCTTTCTTTTTTTCTTTTACATTCTTTCTTCTTTCTTTTCTTTTTTCTTTCTTTTCTTTTTCTTTGCTTTTTCTTTTTTTCTTTTTCTTTTTCTTTTCTTTTTCTTTACATTCTTTCTTCTTTCTTTTCTTTTTCTTTCTTTCCTTTCTTTTTTTTCTTTCTTTTTTTTCTTTGCATCATTTCTTTTTTCTTTGCTTCTTTTTCTTTCTTTTCTTTACATTCTTCTTTCTTTTCTTTTCTTTCTTTCTTTTCTTTTCTTTTTTTCTTTCTTTCTTTTTTCTTTTCTTTTTCATTTCTTTTTTCTTTTCTTTTCTTTTCTTTCTTTCATCTTTCTTTCTTTCTTTGCTTTCTTTTCTTTTTCATTCGTCTTTCTTTCTTTTTTCTTTCTTTTTCTTTTCTTTTCCCTTTCTTTTTTCTTTCTTTTTGTTTTTATTCTTTCTTTTTTTCTTTTTTTTCTTCTTTCTTTTCTTTCATTTTCGTCTTTCTTTTCTTTTCATTCTTTCTTTTCTTTTCTTTTTTTTCTTTTTTTTCTTTTCTTCCTGTTCTTTCCATTTTCTTTCTTTTCTTTCTTTCTTTTCTTTCTTTTCTTTTACATTCTTTCTTCTTTCTTTTCTTTTTCATTCTTTCATTTTCTTTTCTTTCTTTTTCTTTTTCTTTCTTCTTTCTTTTCTTTGCATTCTTTCTTCTTTCTTTTCTTTTACTTTTTCGTCTTTCTTTCTTTTTCTTTTTCTTTTTTCTTTTCTTTTCTTTTTTTCTTTCTTCTTTCTTTTCTTTTTTCTTTTTCTTTCTTTCTTCTTTTTTCTTTCTTTTCTTTGCATTCTTTCTTCTTTCTTTTCTTTGCATTCTTTCTTCTTTCTTTTCTTTGCATTCTTTCTTCTTTCTTTTCTTTGCATTTTTCTTTCTTTCTTTTTTTTTCTTTTCTTTCTTCTTTCTTTTCTTTACTTTCTTTTCTTTCTTTTCTTTTCTTTCTTTCTTTACATTCTTTTCTTTTTTTTCTTTGCTTTTCTTCATTTCTTTTCTTTGCTTTCTTTCTTTAATTCTTTCTTTTTCTTTCTTTTCTTTCTTTTTCTTTTTTCTTTTCTTTTATTCTTTCTTTTCTTTCTTCTTTTCTTTTTTTTCTTTTTCTTTTTTCTTTCTTTTCTTTTCATTCTTTTTTTTTTTTTTCTTTTTTTCTTTCTTTTCTTTCATTCTTTCTTCTTTCTTTTCTTTTTTATTCTTTCGTCTTTCTTTTCTTTGCATTCTTTCGTCTTTCTTTTCTTTCGTTCATTCTTTTTCTTTCTTTGCATTCTTTCTTTCTTTTCTTTCATTCTTTCTTTTTTCTTTTTTCTTTTTCATTTTTTCTTTTTCATCTTTCTTTTTTGTTCTTTCGTCTTTCTTTTCTTTGCATTCTTTTCTTTACTTTTTTCTTTCTTTTTTTTCTTTCTTTTCTTTACATTCTTCGTCTTTCTTTTTTCTTTCTTTCTTTTTCTTTTTTCTTTCATTCTTTCTCTTTCTTTTCTTTACATTCTTTAAGTCTTTCTTTCTTTTCTTTTTCTTTCTTTCTTTTTTCTTTTTTCTTTTACTTTTTTCTTCAAGTCTTTTCTTTTCTTTACATTCTTTCTTCTTTCTTTTCTTTCATTTTTTTCATTTCTTTTTTTCTTTTTCTTCCTTTCTTTTTCTTTCTTTTTTCTTTCTTTCTTTCCTTTCTTTGCATTCTTTCTTTTTCTTTTTTTTCATTTTCTTTTCTTTTCTTTCTTTTTTCTTTATATTCTTTTTGTCTTTCTTTTCTTTGCATTCTTTTTTTCTTTTTCTTTCTTTTCTTTCTTTCTTTCTTTTTTTTGCAAGCATTCTTTCGTCTTTCTTTTCTTTACATTCTTTCTTCTTTCTTTTCTTTGCATTCTTTCCTTTCTTTACATTTCTTTCTTTTTCTTTCTTTTCTTCTTTTTTGTTTCTTTTCTTTTTTCTTTCTCGATTCTTTTTTCTTTGTTCTTTATATTCTTTCTTCTTTTTTTCTTTTCTTCTTTTTTCTTTCTTTCTTTTTCTTTCATTCTTTCTTCTTTTTTTTTTTTCTTTCGTCTTTCTTTTCTTTACATTCTTTCTTTATCTTTTCTTTCATTTTCTTTCTTTCTTTTCTTCTTTTTCTTTTCTTTTATTCTTTCTTCTTTCTTTCTTTTTCTTTCTTTTTTCTTTCACTTTTCTTTTCTTTACATTCATTAGTCTTTCTTTTTCTTTGACATTCTTTCATCTTTCTTTTCTTTGCATTCATTCGTCTTTCTTTTCTTTGCATTCTTTCTTCTTTCTTTTCTTTGCATTCTTTCTTTTCTTTGCATTCTTTCTTCTTTCTTTTCTTTACATTCTTTCGTCTTTCTTTTCTTTGCATTCTTTCGTCTTTCTTTTCTTTGCATTCTTTCTTCTTTCTTTTCTTTGCATTCTTTCGTTCTTTCTTTTCTTTACATTCTTTCTTCTTTCTTTTCTTTGCATTCTTTTTCTTTCTTTCTTTTGCGATTCTTTTTCTTTCTTTTTTCATTCTTTCTTCTTTCTTTTCGGTCCATTTTCATTCTTTCATCTTTCTTTTTTCTTTCTTTTTTTCTTTCTTTTTCTTTCTTTTTCTTTCTTTTCTCTTTCTTTCTTTGCATTCGTCTTTCTTTTTTTTTCTTTTTCTTTTTATTCTTTCGTTTTTTTTCTTTCTTTTTTCTTTCTTTTCTTTCTTCTTCTCTTTTCTTTACATTTTTCTTTTTTTTTTTCTTTCATCTTTCTTTTCTTTTCATTCTTTCTCTTTCTTTTCTTTTTTTTACTTCTTTCTTTTCTTTTTCTTTCGATCTTTTTTTCTTTCGTCTTTTCTTTTCTTTTTCATTCTTTTCATTCTTTTCTTTTCTTTCATTCTTCGTCTTTCTTTTCTTTTCATTTCTTTCGTCTTTCTTTTTCTTTCGTCTTTCTTTCTTTTTTTTGTTCTTTCATTTCTTTCTTTTCTTTTCTTTCTTTTCTTTCTTTCTTTTTTCTTTCATTCTTTCATCTTTCTTTTCTTTTGCATTTTTTCTTTCTTTTCTTTTGCATTCTTTCTTTTTCTTTTGTTTCTTTTCTTTTTTCTTTCTTTTCTTCTTTCTTTCTTTACATTCTTTTTTTTTTCTTTTCTTTATTTTTTTTCTTTCTTTTTTTTTTCTTTCTTCTTTCTTTTCTTTGCATTCATTCTTTTCTTTCTTTTTCTTTTCCATTTTTTTCTTTCTTTTCTTTTTTTCTTTTTTTTTTCTTTAGTTCTTTCTTTTCTTTTTCTTTTTTCTTTCTTTTCTTTTGTTCTTTCTTCTTTCTTTCTTTTTCTTTCATCTTTCTTTTCTTTGTTCATTCATCTTTCTTTTCTTTGCATTCATTTTCTTTTTTAGCATTCTTTTATTTCTTTTCTTTAGATTCTTTCTTTCTTTTCTTTTTTTTCTTTCTTTTCTTTTTTTGTTCTTTCGTCTTTCTTTTCTTTGCATTTTTTCTTTTTCTTTGCATTCATTTCGCATTCTTTTTGCATTCAATGAATTTCTTTGCTTTTTTCTTTCTTTTCTTTACATTCTTTCTTCTTTCTTTTCTTTTTCTTCTTTTCTTTACATTCTTTCATCTTTCTTTTCTTTGCTTTCATCTTTTTTCTTTTTTTTCTTTATGTTCTTTCTTCTTTCTTTTCTTTACATTCTTTCGTCTTTCTTTTCTTTGCATTCATTTTTTCTTTGTTTTTTTATTCTTTCTTTCTTTTACATTCTTTATTCTTTATTCTTTCATCTTTCTTTTCAGAAAATTCTTTCATCTTTCTTTTCTTTTTCTTTAAACTTTTCTTTACATTCTTTATTCTTTCTTTTCTTTGCATTCTTTCATCTTTCTTTTCTTTGCATTCTTTCATCTTTCTTTTCTTTGCATTTTTTTTTTCTTTTTCTTTACATTTTTCTTTTTCTTTGTTCTTTGTCTTTCTTTTTAGGATTTTACTTTTCTTTTTTTTTCTTTATATTCTTTCTTCTTTCTTTCCTTTGAATTCTTTTTTTTTTTGCATTTTTTCTTTTCTTTGTATTTTGTGGGAAACTGACTGAAACTGAGATACCAGGTCAGGACCATTAATGTAGCTTATTCTTTGGATTTTTTCCAAAATCTCTAGATATACAACAGGAGCACCAGACTACATGTAGTAGCAATATTCAAAGCACGGATAAATAGTAGACTTTTAATTATGTAAGATAGATTTTGGAGAAAAAATTCATAATTCTTATTTTAAAATTGTTGCTTGCCCTGTTTCCACAGGTCCCTAGTACACTGCCATCCCCAGGGATTGAACTAACAATTATATATATATATATAAGAACATCACCAAATTCATGAGCCAATGACAGATAGGAATAAAACAGTTTATAGAACACATATATTTTTTTTCAAATCTATCCAATAACTACATTTTGTCTTACATAATCAATATTTTTCAATCCAGCTTTATCAAGGCAATTTGCTTCTGATCATATATAGTTAATCGAAATTTAAAATTTTTTTTAAAGACAAATACCTCAACAATGCAAAAAGTTTTTTTTTTTTTTTACAGAAACTTTTAATATTTTTGAATTTTCAGGTAACTAAAGTCAGATGATAGCTGGAATGTGTCAGCCCAAAAATTTAAGTAATAAGAAATTTTCCTATTGTCTATCTTATTCAATTTGTTTTCTACAGATATATTCTGATAACTTTGTGATTCACACACACACACACATATATATATATATATATATATATATATATATATATATATATATAATGTTTATATTAAATATGATTACTATATATAATAATTATATTAGACACTACTCATTTTGACATTCATATACACCTTTTTTTAAGACATCCTGCAAAAGTTTTTTTTTTTTTTTTATGAACTTCTTTTACAGGTAACTAAAGTCAGATGATGACATATATAGTAATTAAAACTGCAAAGTTTTTTTATTTTAAACACTCATTTAAACAGAAACCTCAACATACTTGTAGAAAATACAATTATAATAGCCTCATCCACATGTAAAAAAAGACTAAAAATAAAGGAAGCACTAATAATTTTTAAAAAAGCCAACATTCATTAACATCAACTATGAATATGCACGCAATGTGCTGACCCTGTTTGGAAAATAAAATATTCCTATAACTCTAGACACATACATAAAAACCCATATATTCAGATAAAAATGAAATCGCATTTGATAATGGTTAAAAGTATAGCCGAAATTGCACAGAAATGCAGAACTTTTGGACAGTTTTTACACAGTTTGTGTTCAGAAAAGAAACACTTGTATGAACACAAGAAAAATTAAATAAATAGCTTAATTGCAGTACCTTGTCAGTTGTGTTTAATGGAACATGTAGAAAAGAGGGATTGTTACCTAAATACATTATATATATATATATATATATATATATATATATATATATATATATATATATATATATATATGGCCTGACAATTGCATCTAGCATGAAACACTGTCGCCTCTAAGTGTTGACTTCTATGTTCACTTTTATATTTATATATATGACAAGGACAATTACATTTAAACATGAAATAATGATCTGAGAGTTCCAATAAAAAGCAGCAGGATGAAAGAAAGACCTGTTAAAAATAAATAATTGACAATGCTTCATTTAAGAAATTCAAACAGCCTAAGACTACTACTACTGCTAGTACATGGTGTACACAAACAAAATTAGAGGAAAACAAAAACAGTTCAAAATAAATAATTAACTGTGCTTCATTTAAGAAATCCAGACAGTCTAAGACTACTACTACTGCTAATTCGTCTACTACATAGTAAACAAATAAGATAAATAAAATGGCCTTGTTTAGACTTTTGATCACACAAGATGACTTGCTCCCTCACAGCATCAGTAACTCACCTGCTCAGCATAGTTACAGTATAAAGCACAGGTGGGCTCTGTGGGTATTGAATACAAATGTGCCTGAGCTGGCGTCTTCAACAGGGAATGGCTAGTCGCCCTTGTAGACATACGTATATATGGTGTGTATAAGTTCAACAAAAGTTGACATTATAAGATACAGTACTTGATGTAACCTATAAAATGGTATAATTGATTAAAAAAAGGTATTTAATTTAATCCTTTAGTCATCTTCACGATCACAATATTCAGGTGGTTAGGAAGGATAGTCACACACACACACACACACACACACACACACACACACACACACATAAGTATATATATATATATATATATATATATATATATATATATATTTTAGTTGGATTGATATGAGTTTGTGACCCTGGGTTTCACGCTATTTGTGATCGTCAGACAAATTGATTAATTTTTAAATTTTGGATTTATATATGGTTACGTATATTGGTGTTTTTATGGTAGTTGGAGGAAAAATTGTCATCCGAATGCCACACATCCGTACGCAGACATACATACACGCACGTTTACACATTGCAGCTCACCCAAACATAAGCATATATAAACAGTGTTGGGTTGGGCGTATATGCGCATCCATCTGTCGTTGCATACATATGTATGCAATTGGTCACTGCATTGTGTAGCAAACTTCTTTGGTAAGTCATGGTGTCAACGCGCAGACCATTTGTTTATTTTGTTCGGAATAATGTTTTCTCACACACACGTATATACATATGCATGCGCGTTATTTTAGTTCACCCAATACAAGGCTCAATGTCCTGTCAAGGTAGAAACTTACTGAATGAAATTGTAAAGGCATAAGGAAGCAGTGGGGGGTGCATATTATGAGGATATATAAAGTAGGTATCAGTTGACCCTAGATTTGAAGATGTTAAGGTTGTAGTGGTTGGGAAACATCCTCTTGTGTGTTTGATCTAGAAAGCAACAGTTCCATGCAATGAATGGATTCTTCTTATAATCCAGCATTATTTTTTATTACTTTAAGAATTATATTTCATGGCTACATGTGTTGGAATTGCATTTTTTTTTTTTTTTTAAACTATGTAATTCTATATCTGCTGGCTTGTGCATTTGAGATTTGAATGCACAGACTTCGATTTAAAAAAAAAAAAAAACTCTACTCACACATGTGTGTCCACTAAATATCATGGTTAAAGTAACAAGACACACACACATGCTCACACATGTGTGTCTATGTGTATTCATTCCTAACAGCCTGAATTGCTGGTTGATTTCAATATTAACAATTAATTCATTCATTCACTCTCTTATTTTTCGTAACACTCTTTGATTTTCGTTGAGTCATCAACAAGAAATCTTAAACATGGGTTTATTCCCAGGAAATTTTCATTGTTTGAAATACTCTGACCACCTTGATATAGGAAGTTAAACGTGTAACCTTCGACGCACAAAGTGGTCACTTCCCTATTTAAAAAGAGTGTCAGCTCTCCTGCTTCCTTTAAAATGAAAAGGAGCGTCTATGAACATAAATGTAATCTGTCTACTGGATGTCTCTAATTGTACATACAGATAGTAATAATGATAATAATAATAATAATGATCGGCTACTTGTCTGCTAGAGTGGCTAGCCAATCCCTGCTGCAAACGCCTGCTCAGGCACATTAGTGTGCCCACAGAGTACAAAGCATGCATTGTGGCTCTCCTCACAGAAGAATTTGTAATAGCCTTTACTTGGTGAGTTTTGCTTTGGTGCAATATAGACAAGGTCATACACAGTATTACAAATGAATGAAAACCACCACCATATCTACTATCCTCCTGATTACTCTTTTCTTTTTCTGCTCATTACTAATGTTTCTGTTCCTAATTCCTTTAACCCCTTATGTGCTAATGGCTCTACTGTTTTGCTTGGGGTGATACCAATTTTTTTTTTTTTTTTTTAAAAAAAAGAAAGAAAATCTTCACTGTGGGTTTTTATGATTTCATTACAGATTGTTACAATTTTTTTAGTTAAAATTTGTTTGAGAAAGATTTATATCTCATTCACTACAATATAGAAAATGAAGAAAACTTAGTTTTGCCTGGCATACATTCATATACTTTGGCCAATTAGTTTTGTCTGGTATCATCTACTTTGGCCAGTTAGTTTTGTCTGATATACAATCATGTACATTGGCCAGTTGAAACTTTTTTCAAATTTCTAATAATTAACAGTTGATATGTGGATGTTTTGTTTTCTACTAAAGAAATGAATTTGTCAGAAGAATAAGAATCCATGTAATTTTGAAATGTTGGGAGGGGGGGGACTTCAGAGAATGGCATCTCATACCTGTGAAGGATTTGCACACAGCCATTCATAATTGGATTCAAAAGAGAAAGGGAAACCACATGAAGTAACAATGTACATTAATTTTTTTTTTTTTTCACAGCCATTTTTTGGGGGCAGGGATCTCACATCTTCATTCTCATTCAGAACCTCTGTTACAATAAATGAAAATTAGTTTTGGAAATAACTCCAATAAGGCCAATGTTTCCTCTGTGGAAAATGCAAAGTGAAGCACTCAATTATAAGCTAACAATTATTAGAAGTTTACAATAGTTTAAACTTTAAACTGGATAAAGATTTTTACATAGTATTGATATATATATATATATATATATATATATAATTAGGGTACTGGAGAAGTTTATGGATTGATGGCATGTATCTTCTTAGAATTTCTCGAATCTGGTCCTTTCCAACATAATTTACCTAAACAATCAACATACTTTCATTATATTGATGATACTGATTTACCTGAGCTAGTAGATCAACTAAACAAAGTAGAACACACAGTAGAATTTACATACAAAATGGAAGAACACAATTCCTTGCCCTTCCCAGACAAGCTACACCATGTTAACAAGTTTAAAATTCAGTGTCCACTGAAAACCAACCAACAAAAACAACTTGCTACCCAAATACACAATATATATATTCTTGTAGCATACCTACAGATGATAATGGATATGTCCCCATTCACATAAATACAGTAGTAAATACTGTATGTTGGTCTGCAATTGGAGATTCATTGTGGAATTCACTTGACTCTCTTCTAGCAGTGGAC